ATGGGAATGAACAGAGGAAGCCAGTCAGGTTTCCCAAAAGAAAGGCCTATTTCCTGTACAGAGACTTTTGCAGCAGCAGTAACATCAAGATATCCTCCATAAAACTAGCTTTGTAAATCAGGATGATGGAATTTCCTCTTAGATGCTGACTTCGTCAAAGCACTGAAAATGTGTGCTAGTAAAAGTTGGCAAATGTATTGTTATTTTATCGAACAGTAGAAGAGTCTAAATGTTATTTTATGGTAAACTTCATTTCCTGCCATGTGTTTTAACTTAGGACATGGCTAGTTGAGATTTCAGTTGCGAAATCTTTTGATCCGTTAAGTATGAGAACAAGTAGAAATGTGAAATCATAAAGTCTCTCGATCATGTCTTACTTATTAAATAAAAGAGAGAAAGGCATACAACAAGGGCCATGATTATAAATCTTCATCATATGAAACTAGCTTCCGAATAAAATAAAGATGCGGCCTTCAAAAAGATTTTGCTAGTGTTTTTAATGCACATTGCTAGGGATCTTTATATAGTGTGCAGTCTTTGTATTAATTAAATAAAGTGTTAAGAGGGAGGCATGTCTTGATAAGTATTTTAAAAGTATTTTGTGTCACCAGTTCCAGCAGTTTTGCCCAGATTATTAGGACTAATAGCAACAGGGATATTACTGTTTGTGTTAATACCAGTAAGCATAAAGCGCCTGGGAATATTTTTAGTCGTGGAGACTATCCAAATGAAAATAAGACTTTTTGAATAGAACATGTAACTTCTTTCCCTTCTTCACTGACTTTTATATTTAGACAGTGGCAAAAGATTGGTGATTTCATTTCGCACAGATGGGCGTTTGATTTTGAAGCGTGCCTCCCACGTGTCAGCCACAGTTGCGTGCTGCTTTCCCCCCTCTCCCCAGTGACCAGGCATGGTGGGTTTTGTGCCACCGGGTGACTCTTGGGGATGCATTTAAAGCTTATATGCATCTAGTTGTTTTCATGAGTCTGACAGATGCCAGCTAAGCTGACAAATGAAATAATACGGCTCTTGGTTGTGTTTTTACAGACTATTATATTGAAAGAAAATAATGAATGTTTATAAAATACTTCTTTTTTTATAAACCTAAAAAAAAAAATGAGAGTAATACTGTAAAGGAGAGTCCTCTGATGATTCTTATGACTTGTCTTTGTAATAAGATATGTAGAGTGGAGTGTGCGGGAAGCGGAGAAGATGGCTGTCCTGCCAGCGAGGCCCTGCCTTCCCTGACCTCGCCCACCACTGGGAGCGTGAAGCTAGGCTTTCTGTAGTGGTTCCCCCCCCCCACCCCCATGCCAACTTTTTTAAAACAACAAAATGCTGCTGAACTTCTACTAACCTTCATTCTGGAAACCAATTTTAAATGACTTTAGGTCAGAGTTTTCATATATTCTGCAAATATTGACTGGATCTTACTGAGTGTTGGGCCCCATGCTTGATCTAGGGAGTTGGTAGAGATGTGAGTTCTGCTCAGTACCTGATCTCAGGAGCCTTGTGGTCTGTGTGGTCTAAAGGACACACTCAGGAGTATTTATAATTCCATTAATATGTGCTCAGTATGATGAGAAAGGCAGCTACATTTTATGGGCAGAGTGGAGAGGATGGGGAGAAGAGGGGAGGCCTCGGGGGTGGGGTGGGGGCTGGTATTTGAGCAGGGCCTGGAAGGTTGGGTCAGAGGTGGCTACACAGGACTGAGAGAGTGCGGCCTGCCGAGTGACCTTGGCAGGGTTGTGGAAGGCAGGCAAGTTCAGGTGCCTTTGAGGACCAGCAAGTTGTTGAGTTTGGCTGGTAAACCACTAGCTCAGGGATCCAGGAGGAGCTTAAGCTGGTATGAGTTACAAAGGCCTTTTAGCATTTCCTTTTCTTTCTTTTTTTGTAGTTGAGTTTGAGAGAGCCCTTGAAGGTTTTTGAGAGTAACTCAGTAAGGTTGGACCATTAGGAGTATTTATCTAACGTTGGCTGCTTTGAGAGAGACAAGGAGGAAAAGGCAGCAGTTCAAGTGAAAAGAAAGAAATTCTTGGCTCAGGAGGGTGGTGGGTGCACAAGGGGAGGAAAAGACACGAGCTGAATTTATGGAACTTGGTCATGTTAGGGACATAATGCCTGGAAGAGACAGTGTGTGTGTGTGTGTGTGTGTGTGTGTGTGTGTGTGTGTGTGTGTACACCAGCTGAAAATGGATTTGACTTGATTGAGTCCAAGATGGGTCTGGACTGGAAATCCTGGTGATGGAAATCAGCTGATTTTAGGGGGCTCTCTGAGGGCAGGAGTCACCTTCTCCATTTCTGCCTCTCTAGTGCCAGGCACCAGGCTCAAGAAATGTTTGTGAATGAATCTGGTGGGTTTAGTTGTACACATAAGTGAGTTTATCATTGGGACAAGACTATCTGATGATGAAGGGCCAAGTAGACCTGGGTTTGAATCCTGACTCAGCCATTCCAGAGTCATCTTGAGCGAGTTACTGAACCTTTCTATTTCCTCATCTGCAGGGTGGAGGATAATAACACTACCTGTTTATTCGTATTAGCTGAATGGACTTAGTGTGCATGAAACATTTAACCCAGCATCTGGTTTACACCTGAGATAAAGGATCCTCAGACCTTGGCTGTTGTTACTCCCGGGTGCAGTGTAGATGTGAGCCTGTGACTGGCAGTGCAGTAATGAGGCGTTGGGCTGGGGGTTAGTAGCTTTGGGAATGCTTGAGGCCTCAGCCTAGAGAGGGAGGAGGGGTGAGACAGCTTAGAGAAAGCTCCACTGAGGAAGCGGCAGGAGGAGTGGTAAAGGAGAAGCGGGAGGGGACCTAAGGAGTTCAGTGCCCGCTGTCCTGGACAAGGAAGATGCTTCAGGATGGAAAAGAGTTCAGAGAGGGCGAGAACTGAGAGTGGACATTGAATTCGCGCAGGAAACCGTCCAGCCACCTTGGAAGAAGTTGCAGGAAAGCAGAAGCCAGGTTACCTGTGGTTACAGAGAACATCAAGGAAAAAGGGAAGATTCTTTCGGAAAAGGAAGTATCAGTAGAGGCAGGGATTAAAGGCAAAACTTCTAAAATAGCTTAAAGACAGCATGGCTTTTAAATTTGTTCTGGCAAAATAATTTATAGGCTGTGGTACAAAGACCACCATACTTACGGGTTCTTACTGTCCTCCAGGAGAAGTCCCCGTGGGGGTGTGCAGTGCTCAGTCTGCGAGGTCCTGCATGGCAGCACTCGTGTGATGGCATACACAATTATAAATGAATAAAGTGTAATATATAATGTAATAACAAATAAGTACTAATAAATTTATAATTAATGCAACAAGAGACATTATAACTGATGCTTAATGAGTATGCACTTAACTCATACTGGCCAGCAATGTTTTAAATGCTTTGCTTCTATCATTTAATCCTCCCCCAACAACTGTATGAGGTATGGGTGCTGTTATTCTCATTTAAAGCTAAGGGGGGCTCCGTGACGTGCCCAGAGTCACTCAGCTGGTAAGTCAGTGGTGCAGCCAGGATTAAATAGCAGGCAATCTAGCCATAGAGCCCATGCTGTTAACAGCCGTGCGATGCTGCTTTGTTTTATTTTGTTGCTGAAATGTTTAGGACGAGCGAATGGCATTGGATATCATGTCTGGTGAAACGGAAGGTCTAAAGAGAGAAAAACTGAACGTGAGGAAAAGGGCTGATGGGAGCTGTTGAAGCGGTGTTTCAGAGAGGGGAGGCCAGACTAGGATCACAAGTGCAGGTAGAGGGTCAGTAGTGGAAAATCACCCCGCTTGCTCTCAGATTAGCTAGGAAGACTGGCAAATTACAGAGAAAGAAGCAAGGGATTTTATAGAAGCAGAGAAAGGTACAAGAGTTTAAGAGAGGTTTTGTAGTGGTGAGGGAGACCGTCATCCATGTTGAGAACTTTCCTGTGGATTATTAAGAATTGTCTCCCTCTGATAGTAGGATTGGACCCAGTCCTATTGGAGACGAGGGGCTGAATGAGCTAGCATTAGGGCGGGGGGTTCATTGACTGAACAGATGTCCAAGGCACCCTTTGGTGGAGGTGTGATAAGTAGCACTGTCCAAGGAGAATGACTGCATTTTGGTTTCCTGCTACTGATTTGATTTGCTGCTGGAAGCGGCGTTGAAGAGTAATAGGACATTGAAGAAAGACTCGTACTGTCTTTTTCCCCCCTGTTGTGAAGATATTCCAGGTTTAGGGAGGAAGAGAAACCCAAAGGCGGAAGAAACAAAGAATGAAGGAAGGAGAGGCATTTTGAATTTGAGGGTTGCTGAGGCGTGGATGGCACTTAACTGAAGGGTGCCTAATGCAGACCTCTTTAGGATTTTCTAGACACCAGGTATGTCGTCTAGAATAGTGCCTTTTAAACTACCCGTGGTGAAGGGCTGCTGCTTTAAGGTTGTGGACTGTTTATATTTTGTAAAATATAAAAATGGATTAGAAAAAATAAGTTAAAACAACAAAGACATAAGTACAAACCCAATTTGTTTTCTATTATTAGTCAACAGATACATAAGGTTTCTAAGTGCTTACTTTTAATTTCTGAAATTTGCTCGTCATGGACTTGTTGCAGGTTCAGAACAAACACAGGCTCATAGTTAGCAGTGGGTCTCACTTTGCATCCATAGTACTGACTGAATTTACACGCCAGGCCGGCTCCAGTTCTTGAGCTCTTCCCAGAGTGCTCAGCCTGGCTCGGGACACATGCTACAGACTCAACAAATAAATGCTTGTGAAATAGTACCTGTAAGAGATGGTTTTTGTATGCAGAATAAAATCCAATCAGTATTTAACAAGTCTCTGAAGAACAAGATAATTAAAATTTGTTCACCTGGGGGAAGGCAGAATGTTAAAGCAAAGTGTGCTTTACCTTGTTTTGCAATTTTCAAAAACCACATCTTCAAAAAACCTGAGTTACCAGAAAGCCACCGTTTATTCCTTGCGTTGTGTACACACTAACCTTAGCCACAGTTCATCTTTTGACTCAAGGTCGTGTCCGCGGCCAAGGTATGTGGAGCTGCTGATGAGTCCCCCTCCGTGAAGAGGCTCCGCCTGCTTGTTGCTGATAAAGATTTCTCTTTTAAAGCTGGCCAGTGGTAAGTGGCTTTTCTGTTTCCTGTGTTGTGTGTGTTTAAGAAGGTGCCATCAGGTAGAGGGCTCGTTTTTCCTTCTGGAAAGGACTCCTGTGGCCAGCAGTTTCTCCTTAGGATGTGAGTATTCTAGACCATCTCCCTTCAAGGTGAGCCTGTTTGGCATGGAGAATATGATTTCTTTCCCAGCCTCGGAGCTTCCCTTCGTTTTTTGAGCCCATGGCCCCCTTAATCATATGTAAAAATTGCTGCCCTGAGTTTTCCAGTTTGAAACAAAGCAGCTAGTTCTGGTCTGTGGACCTGACAACTCTGATAATTCCTCTCTGCAAGAATGGTTGCTAATAGAATGCCCTGCAGTAATCTGCTCTCCTAGAGTTATGTGTTGCTGGGGATTGATACATTTTAAAAATTAGCCTTCTTTATGTCAAATACAAAGAAAACAGCAGTCTGAAAAGAAGAATAACCAGTTATGTCACGGAGCTAGCCACACTCTCGACTGAATTCCTGCATCACTCATACCTTGTCTGGGTTGGGTTTATTATTAGTGTTGCCTTTATTATCAGGAGGCCCCCCCCGTCAGGCCCAGCTCACACCACGCTTGAGAGTCTGCCCCATTCAGCTCTGAGGACTAGTCAGCACTCTGACAGGGAAACGGCCCTGCTAGCCCCTGTTCCTGTGAATGGCCTCACTGAGCTGCAATTCAAGGTGATTTGTAAATAAAGCCACTTGTATTTCCTTAGGAAAGGTGTGTTTGGGTGTATGTTTCCTTTATTTAAATAAAGCATTCATTTCTAAATGAATTTCTGGCATGTCAGTTCTGGTTGTATTTCTTAGGAGTCACTTGACTAATTTTGGCAGTCCATCTGGAAATGCGGTTTTGTTAGAAGGAGGATGTGTGATAATAGCAAGTGTGATAATAGCAAGAGTTAGCAGTCTTGTGTTAATAGTTTGCTTTTGAATTTAGAACTAGAAAACAAGATGCTGATTGCAATAATTTGCGTTTGTGAAGCAATTTACTGCAATCTTTGCACATGTTCAGTGATACATATTAAATGCATTTGGGCTGTTTTAGGGGGGCGGGCAACGTTTTTACCCTTCAGAAATAGTTTAGCAGTTATTACATTGAAAAGTGGAAACTTTCATTGTAATGATCTGTCTTTCCATATTTCCCTTCTGTGGATGTGTTTGTGTCCTGTGCACGCATTGCTCTGCCTCCAGCTCTGAATTGGGCCCAGACTCTGACCCCAGTCCCCAGTCTATTGATTAGAAAAAGCCTGTGCATTGGTTTATAATGCTGCCACCCCAGTGTGCCTGCAGGTGTATTAGCACTTGCAAATCTGTAGTTACCTGATGAGAAAAATGTCATCATTCTCTAGTGATACATACAGAAATAGGTCCCGCTGTGATCCTCAAGATAAAACTAGTCAGGTTGGTGTCATGTAGCCCATATCAGTGAATGAGTGAATGGCCTTAGTCATGTTACTGATGTTAGGACTGGTTTTAGTGTGTGCCTGACAGACGCCTGCTTCCGAGGGCAGACGTGGGGGTGGTCATCTCTGGCAGGTTAGCGAAGACTCCTTCCCTCAGGAACCATTTCTGCCAGTGGGCCCTCCCCTCCCCTTAGCACTGACTTGCTGCGTGGCTCTAGACCAGCAGTTCTCAACCTTTCACAGGGTCGCCTAAGACCATCGGAAAACACATATTTTTGATGGTCTTAGGAACCGAGACACTGCTCCTCTATCCGTCTCCAGGCCCACATGCAGATACGGCCACATAATGAGTACCCGGTGACCCCTGTAAAAGGGTCGTTCGACCCCCAAAGGGGTTGCGACCCACAGGTTGAGAACCGCTGCTCTAGACACTGACCCTTTGCTCACTTGACTCCATGGTGCAGAGTGGCCATTTGCTTAGGGGGGTGGTGTCCGCTCCTTCAGTGCTGTTGCTGGATGGCGTGCGGTCTAGGCTCTTAGATCACCAGCTCGGCAACAACCTCCATGTGGCGTTTTGGAGAAGAGGGCAAGGCTTAGGGCGTGTGGATGTGGCTGCTGTGCAGTTTGTGTCCCTAGGGTTATCAGAGTGGAGTGCTCCTTAGCCATAAAGGAGAGGATTGCCGTTGAGCTTAGCTTTGGGGTGGGAGATTGGGCCACCATGATCCCATATCACTGAATTCCTGACCGGTAGCCCCCTCTGACACCTGCCAAACCATGAGGGGAAGACTCCAGACCCACCTCAGTGCTCTGAGGTTTGGGGCACAGATCCCAAGTGGAAGATACCTTCAACGCAGACCAGAGATTGGCCTTCAGGACTCTTCCTGTGCTGCGCTGTCCTTCCTGGGCCCTCCCAGAAAGGGGGGACCGGTTTCTGTACTGGGAACCCAGCCCCAGGAACTCAAATAATCCAATTCAGAGAGAAAGGCCAAAAGGGGAAACTGCCTAAAACCACTTCTCACGTGAGCAGGGCCAAACCTTTAGGGCTCCTCTTACCAGTAGGTCCATCACTGAGCTCCTAGCTGCTTGGTGAGTCCTGCAGGCCCTTGACTTCTTCAGAATTCCTCCTTCCTGAGGGTGGAAAGGCTGGGGCTCCCTCTCAGGGCTGGCGTGTGCCACCAACAGTCCTCATGCAGTGTGAGTGCCTGGGGGTGCCAGAGTCCGTGTTCTTTGTGGTGCTCGCTGCTGTGGGCTGGGCCCATCCCCGAGGGAGGCTGTATCACAGAGCCACACGCCTAGTGCTCTGGGACTGCCCAGCTCACATGTTCGCTCTCCTGCCTGCCAGCTCTGTGACATGGGCAGCTTCTGCCTTTCTCTGGGCTTCAACTTCCATGTGTTTAAAGAAGGAATAGTAATATTCCTATGTCTCAGGACATGGCAGGCATTTAGCGCAGTGCCTAATACTTAACTTTATTAGTTTGTTTTTTGTTATAGCCAATGTTCCACTCAGTCAGTCAGATCACTTGTGCTGGTGAGGCCCAGGGGACAGATTCCAATTCTTAGTCCCTTGGCCAGTTCTCCTGCAGTGACACTGTCGGTTGGAAGAGCAGCAGACCCAGTAGGAGTGCGTGAGCACACGTCTCCACTATTAGGATGCCCTGTGTGCCGCACGCAGCTGTCACTCCACTGGGGCTGCGCACAGGACGCCACCCAAGGGGAAGCAAGGGCTACATGATTTTGGAGAGAGAGAGGCCTATCACTGCTTCATGCCAGATAACGGAAGTTTTTATGCTTGAAAGCGACTGGGCTGTACCAGGAGGACATCAGGAAGAAACAGCTTAGAGGAGCAGAACTAGAGAAAAAAGCCTACCCCTACCCTCTAGCACAGCCTCTGTGGTGTGGACAGTATACAACCTACACCGCCATGTCCGACAGCCTGACGCTCGCATGACCACACGTGGAGAGTGCTGCATTTTTTTGGTGTCATTGTTCAGACTGTCCCATTGCTTGTCTGGTGAGTGCTATGTATTAATATCTTTTAAGACGCCTCTGTGAAATCGCTTAATTCCTCTACCTCTGGTAGAATTAATGACTTCTGCTCTCCTCCTCACCCCCAATTGACTTCCCCTAAGCAGGTTTTTTTTTTTAATAAAACAGTGGCTTTATTAGTATTTTTCTGATAAAACCAGGATCGCATATGGTGGAACTAAGATATCTCTACTAAGTACAGGTACTTCCAGACAGATCTCAAATGATGAGCACTTTTTTCTCCCATTTAATTATACTTCTTTGTTGATTTCCTTCCCATTAGGGTGAGTTTATTGAAGGCAGGAACCAAGACATAGCTTGTGTCTTTACTTCTGACACGAACCACAGTGCCTGTACATTGTAGGCAGGTGCCATCCATAGTGTTTGCACAGGGAATGTGAGGCTCCGAGTACGACAATTGAGGACTAAAGAGCTTTGGGATCTCATAATAAAGCCTCGCCATTCGGCCACGGTTTTCGTGCCTGCTGTGTGCTGGGCACTGGGGCTGCCGGGGGGGTCACAGTTAGATATGCCTATGTGTGCCTTACCACAGAATTAGGCTCTTTCTCTCAGTTCTTCATACACTCACGCATCTGGGAGTGCAACATATGCCTTAATTGTTGGCCCCAAGACTGCTACCCCTGCGAAGGCTATTTTTAAAGGTATATGTGTGTGTAAATTCTTTCTTGGACAGATGTTTTATTCAATATGTATTGTGAATATTTTCTTAAATCCATTCAGATGAGGTTTTTATGTCACTTGAATTCTTCTGTAGCATTTAATGAAGGAGTCCTGTTATCTAAAGGTACCTTTCCAGAGTTTCTATAGGATTCCCTTTCGCTCACCTGAGAATGGTCTTTATCAGCATCAAGCAGCAGAGGGCGCTGGAGTTCAGGAGATGAAGCAACAAAAGTGGTTATTTTTTTTTTTTATCATGGAAGCTGTGGTGATGCTATTATACGTCTTCTCTGAAAGCATATAGCAGCTATGTTAATAAATGTTAACTATAGTCTTTTAAAATTTGTATCTTGTCTGAAATGAAAAGGAGATTAAGCTACTCATGGGAAATAGTCACATGAATATAGGAGAAAGTACGCTAGAAATCTTTTCTGGAACACTTTTGATCCAGAACAGTTTTTTTTTAAGACTATAAAAAAATAACCAGATATTTAAGGCCATAGATCAAAAGAGAACATCTTTTAAGGTCATAGATCAAATCAGTAGAGAACATTGCGTGCTTTTCATGTAAGGCTGCTAGTAAGAAAACAACTGAGGGAAAATGATACTTTTGATCTTTGATGGCAGAGAAACATGTCAATTGGATGTTTGATTTTCCTAGACATGGAGATGAGGATTTTTTGTGGTCCCAGGTGCTAATGAATTTTTCTTTCTTTGGTATGTGACTAGGTTTGTTGCATTACCTAGAATCCCCACCAACAAAAGGGTTTCTGTGGTATAAAACTATTGAAGACTTGAAACTTGAAAGAGTTCTAGACTGTAGAGTACGGTTAGAAGGAAAGAAAGAAAAATAAGACTTTTGGAGCTTAGAAGGCCATATCGGCTTATTTAGTTTGTCAAATGCCAGTGAAAGAGCTTCTGTTGCCTTCTGTTTTTTCACCTTGTAAAACTTTTATTGAGATCTACTTTACATATCATAAAACTCACCCATTTAATGTATAATATTTACCCCAAGTGGTTTTTAGTATATTCACAGAATTGTACAGCCATCAGCACAATCAACTTTAGAACATTCTCTCATCCCAAGAAGAAACCCTATACCAATTATTATTCATTCCTCATCCTTACCCCCTTAGACAACCACTGTTCTCTTTCTGTATTTATGGATTTGCCTATTCTGAACATTTCATATCAATGGAATTATACAACATGTGGTCTTTTCTGTTACTGACTTCTTGCACTTAACGTAATTTCAGTGTTGATCTATGTTGTAGCATGTCTTAGTACTTCATTCCATTGTATGGATACACACATTTTGTTCATCCATTTCATCAGTTGAACGTTTAGATTGTTTTCACTTTTAGGCTATTATCAATACTACTACTGTGAACATTCATTTGTATGTTTTTGAGTGGACATGTATTTTCCTTTCTCTTGCGTATGTACGTAGGCGTAGAGTTGTTGGTCATATGGTAACTCTGTTTAACATTTTCAGACCCTACCGAACTGTTTTCCAGAGTGGCTGCTCCATGTTACAGTCCTGCTCCAATGCATAAGAGTCCCAATTTCCCCAGATCCTCACTAACACTTGCTATTGTGTTTTGTTTTGTTTTTAATTTTTTTTTTTTTTTTTGGCTGAGCCATCCTGCCACCGGTTGGCAGTTCAGCGGCAGCTCAGCTCGGGCCGTGAATCAAACCAGGGACCCTGTTGCTCAGAGCTCACACTCTTGAGTGAGCTCTTAACCAACTGAGCCACTCGGCCAGCCCTTGCTATTGTGTTTTTGACTAGCCACCCATCCCAGTGCTTGTGAAGTGATAGCTCATTTTGATTTTGATTTGCATTTCCCTAATAACTTAAAATGTTGAACATCTTTTCATGTGTTTATTGGCCATTTATGTATCTTCTTCGGAGAAATATAAATGTAAATCCTTTGCCCACTTTTTAAATTTGTCTTTTCATTACTGAGTTGTAACAGTTCTTTATATATTCTGCATACAAGTCCCTTATCAGATATATGATTTGAAAATATTTACTCCCATTCCTCTGGTTGGTTGTCTTAACTTTCCTGATGGTATTATTTGTAGCACAAAATTTTTAATTGATGCAGTCTAGTTTCTGTATTTTTTCTTTGACCTTTGTGTTTTGGAGCCTAAGTAACCATTGCCATGAAGAATTACTCCTGTGTAAGTTTTCTAAGAGTTTATAATTTTAACATTTACATTTACATCTTTGATCCATTTTGAGTTAATTTTTATATATGGTGTAAGGTAAGGGTCAAATTTCATTCTTTTTACAGGTTGATATTCAGTTGTCCCAGCACCATTTATTGAAAAGACTAGTCTTTTGCCATTGAATTGTGTTGGAACCCTTGTTGACAATCAACTGACCATAAATTTAAGCATTTATTTTTGAGCTCTCAGTCCTTTTTCATTGATCTATATGTCTGTTCTTATGCCAGTACACAGTGTCTTCATTACTGTAGCTTTATAGTAAATTTTGAAATCAGAAGGTATACATCTTCCAAATTTGTTCTTCTTTTTCAGGATTGTTTTAATGATTCTGGGTCCCTTGAATTTCCATATTAATTTTATGATCAACTTGTCAATTTCTGCAAAGAAACCAGCTGGGTTTTAATAAGTATTGCACTGAATCTGGAGATCAGTTTGGGGAATATTGCTATCTTAACAATATTAAGTTTTTCCATCCATTATCATGACATGTCTTTCCATTTATTTAGATATTTGATTTTTGTTTTCAACAATGTTGTGGTTTTCATTGTGCAAATATTATGCTGCTTTTGTAAAATTGATTCTCATTTATGCTATTCTTTTTATGGTATTACAAATAAATTTTTCTTAGTTTCACTTTTAGATTGCTGGTGTGTAGAAATACAATTGATTTTTTTCATTGACCTTGTATCCTGCAACCTTATTTGACTTGTTAATTAGTTCTAATGTCTTTATAGTAGATTCCTTAGGATTTTCTGTATACAATATCATGCCATCTATAACTTCTCTCTCCAATCCAGATGCCATTTATTTCATTTTCTTGCTTAATTGCCTTGGTTAGAATCTCTAGTATAATGTTGAATAAGAGTGGTGGGAGTGGACATCCTTGTTTTGTTTCTATTCCTAGAGGAGGAACTTTAAGCCTTTCATCATTAAATATGGTTCTGTAGATTCCTTCATCAGGTCAAGGAAGTTCCTATTTAGTCCTAGTTTGTTGAGTATTTTTATTATGTAAGGGTGTTGAATTTTATCAAGTGCCTTTTCTGCATCTGTTGAGATGATTATATGGGTTTTGTCCTTTATTTTATTAAGTGGTGTATTTCACTGAATGATTTTCAGGTGTTAAACCAGCCTTGTATTCTTGGGATATTTGCATCTGTATTTACAAGGGATATTGATATGTATAGTTCAATTGTTAATTAGTTCTAATGTCTTTTGTTCTATTTTCTTGTGATATCTTTCTCTGGTTTTGGTATCAGGGTAATAGTAATACTGGCCTCATAGAATGAGTTGGAAAGTGTTATTTTCTGTTTTGTTTGGAAGAGATTGTGAAAGATTAATATTAATTCTTCTTTAAATGTTTGGTAGAATTCAAGAGTGATGCCACCTGAACCTATCCTTTTCTCTGTGGGAGGTTGTAAAATTACTAATTCAGTCCATTTGCTTGTTATAGTTCTGTTTAGATTTTCTGTTTCTCCTTGAGTCCAGTTGGTCAGTTTTTGTCTTTCTGGGAATGTGTCCATTTCATCTAAGTTATCTATTTTTTTTGTCAAACAGTTGTTCATAGAGTTCCTTTATAATCTTTTATTTTTGTAAGGTTGGTGATGATGTCTCCTCTTTCATTCTTGCTTTTAGTAATTTTATCTTTTCTCTCTTTTTTTAAATCAGTCTAGTTAAAAGTCTGTCAGTTTTGTTTACCTTGTTGCCCACTTTTAACATTACTTCCACAGTAATAATTTATTTGCCTTCCTTTTAGGGTTGATTTCTTTATCCCAGGAGTCTCTGTGGTTGGTGGGTTCTCAATATGCTCTAGCCCCAGACTGCTAGAACAAGAGAGAATGATAGAATTGGCAGTGAAATACACGAACCACCCTCCTGCTCTCTGGATTCACAATCAGGTGAGCAAACCTCTGTTTAAACTTGCAGATTAGGGCACCTCTGCCACCCACAAAATTTCTGTTAGCTCACTGAATCTCTCTAAGAAACCTAGGCTTGAGTGAAAAAGGCACATGCTCACAGAGAGCTCTCTTACATCCAGAATTCAGACTCCAAAAGGTCAAAGAAGCAGAATCTTTGGTGCATTAAGGATGACTCAAAGGTACTTTGGAATCTGGAAATACCGTTTGGGTCACCCAGCAGTATTCAGTTGAAGACTACTTTAGGAGTAAAGCATTATACTTTATATGTAAGTTTCTGAAAATTGGCTCTTTGTATGTCTTGTAAATGGTAAATCTACAAAATCAGATTATTTTGTCCCAACCATCTTAATGAAGGGAATTATTTGGACGGGAAATGGTCTCTGATTACATACTGCTCAAGCCCAGAGCTGAGCACTGCTAAATCTGAGGTGCCATTGCCCTCCATTTCAGTCTCTAGAGACTCTGCACACTGGATTCTGTGAGGGAATCCACATTTGCTGCTAATAACTCACGCTTCCTCGTGGGACTCAAACACAGTCCTACATAAGCTGCCTGCACATTCCTTACTAGAACTCTGATACCAAAGAATGAGCCGAGAGCAGATCAGTTATTTGTCTACTTAATTTTGACCCTTGTCTTTTTTTGTTTTTTCTTTTTAATTTTTTTTTACTGCCATCCCCTTTACTTCTAGAGTGTGCCTACTTTACTTACCAACAGCGCATTTCATCCTAGTCATTTTCTTATCCTCTTTAACAAAAAGGAATGCACCAGTACAAACATTGTAGATAGATACACTGATTTTAAAATTCATATGGAATGGCAGAGGAACTCGAATAGCTAAAACAGTTTTGAAAAATAAGACTAAAGTGGGAGGAATCACATTCCTCATTTAAGATTAAAATACAATGACAGTAACCAAAACAGTGTGTTATTGGTGAAGAGATGGACAGGACATGCAGATCAATTGAACAGAATAAAGAGTTCAGGAATAGCCTGACATACATATGGACATTTGATTTTTGACAAGGATGCTAAAGAAATTCAGTGGAAAAAGGATAACCTTTTCAACAAATAGTTGTTGGAACAATTGTCTATCCATATCCATATGCAAAAAAAAAAAAAGAATCTTGACCTATATCTCATACTTTATATTCAAGATTAACTCAAAATAGGTTGTAGATCTAAGTATAAAACATGAAACTATAGAAGTTTTAGAAGAAAACATAGGAAATATTCTGAACTTCAGGGTGGGCAAAGAGTTCTTAGACATGACACCAAAATCAAGATCCATAAAAGATTTATATGTAGGACTTAATCAAAATTAAAAATTTTTTTCTGCAAAAGACACTATTAACAGAATTTAAGAAAACAAGCTACAGATTAGGAGAAATTATTTGCAAATTAGATATCCAACAAAGGACTGTATCCAGAATATATAAATAACTCAAAAATCAGCAAAAAAGAAAACAAACATAATTTTAAAATGGTTAGAGAATTGAACAGGTACTTTACTAAGAAGGATATAAGGATGGCAAATAAGCAATGAAAAGATGTTTAACATCTTTTACTATTAACCATTAGGGAAATGCAGAGTAAAACCATATATAATGTGAGATCTACAGACCTGTTAGAATGACTAAAATTAAAAATATTGACACTGCCAAGTGCTAACGAGGTTGTGGAGCAACTGGAACTTTCTTGTATAATGCTTATATTGCCAATAGGGATGCAAGATACTAGAGCCACTCTGTAAAACATTTTGGCAGTTTCATATAAAATTAAACATACACTGACCATAAGACCATAAGGTATTTATGCTAGAGAAATGAAGGCTCTGTTCATATTAAAACCTGTGAATGAATGTTTATAGTGGCTGTATTCACAGTTATCAAAAACTGGAAACACCCCATAAGTGTTTAGGTGAATGGATAAACAAACTGTGATATAGTCATACAGTGTATTGTTATTCAGCAATAAAAACAGATTTACTATTTATTGATGGCACACAACAACTTGGGTGAATCTCAGAGGCATTATGTTGCGTGGAACAAGCCAGTCTCAAAAGGTTATATACTGTATAATCCCATTTATGTCACATTCTGGAAGGCAGCTACAGTGATGGAAAACAGATCAGTGGTTGACAGGTTAGGGGTGGGGAAGGGTGTGGGCACAAAGGGATAGTCGCACAAGGGACTTCTCTGGAGCGAGGGAACTGTTTTATATTTTGATTCAGGTGGTAGTTACACAGATCTGTGTATGTGTAAAATTCATAGAACTGTACACCAAAAAAAAGTTTTACTGTAAGATATTTTTAAAAATAAAGGATTTTTAAATCTCTGGGGGCATAAAAAGTACATGTTCTTACAGTTTACATGTCAAGCTGTGTCTGTTCAGAATAACCCTGGGCTGCTTGCCTTAGCGCTGCCATTGTAAATGTGTCCTGTCACATTTTTACCCTCCAACCTTCCGAGTTCTGCCTTTGGTGTGGCCTTAGCTGCATCACTCCCGTGTAGATTCTCTTTGGATTTTCCACCCATTACTGCCTCTAGGCTACATCCCGAGTCTCTGAGATGTGCCTCGGGGCTGGGACCAGCAAGGTGTTTATGTGCCCTGGGCTCACTGTTAAAATGAGATTAGCCATTCCCTCTCCTACTGCTGTGAGCCCCCTCCAGTTGTCAGTCTCCCACGTGACCTGACCTGGTCCTGGTCCATAGCACCCTGCTTGGTTTCATGCCTCATTGGCATTTCAATGAAGGAACTCGTTCTTGGAGGCTGTAGAAAATCTCCAAGTGGCATTGCTTCAGTGCACATCCTAATTGTAGTGCCTGCTCCACTCTGCCCAGTGGGAGTTGCAAACAGCCTTTATGAAGTCAGATTTTTCTTGGAACCATTCTCAGGTGGCTGTATTCCTCCCGAGGATTTGTCTTATTAAGCTATTAGAGTGGACAGTGGAGGCACATGAGTGTCTGTCTGGGTGGCAGTAGGCTGCTCTGTTGGGACACAGGATAAAAATGCCGTAATGTCTTCCTTTATTTCATCTGCTTTGGCTCAAGCTCCTGGCAGGGTAAAGGGTTCTAGACAGCTATTGTGTGCCTGCTCCAGTTGCTGTGGAAAAGTAGTTTATTTCACAAGTAGAAAATCCATACCCAAATTAGACACATTGCTATGTAATTGACGGTAATATCCTTTACTCACTTCCATATTGTACTGTACAGTACTTTGAGCCTTATTGTTCATGCTACCCTGGCAGTTTTTATTGATCAACAAAAGACAAAGATGGCTTTTGATTCTTTCCAGATGCTGCAAATTAGAAGATAGATCTACCGCAGATTATTTTGTCACTAAGGAGACGACAGGCTTCTTGAGTATTAGCTTTCCCTGGGGCACGTTTTCTTGCCAACCTTAGGGTTGAAAATACTGTGGTTTTTAAAAACAATAACCTGCAGGCATTTTTGTTGTCATTACTAAGCATGCTGAAGATGACCACTGGAGAAAATTATTTCTCTTTCAGTTCTTCGTCTCTTTTACCCTTAGATTCTTAGAGATAAAGAGAGAAGTGTACAGGCAAGCAAATGGGGGAGGCAGGGCATAAAGAGATTAAATCCATTGTCACCGTTAGGCAGAGCCTCTCCTATCATAAATCCTGTTTTTGAGACTTGAAAGGAAGGAGCATTTTAAAGCACTTTGGTAGCCAGTGTGTAGTGATTCCTAGATTTTAGTTATTACCAACAGAATGCTCCCTTGCTGCTAATTTCTTTTGTCAAAAATGGAAACCCACTTACCGTTTCATGTAAAAATCTCCTACATATTTAAAATAGTTAGGTTCAGATATATTTTCCCCCTCAGAGAAAGGATTTCCATTCATTTACCAAAAAAGACCTGTTTTGTGAATTCAAATAATTTTCATTTTTTCTTAGATTTTCTCTAAGATTAGCTTTTCTTTTAAGTTATAGAGCCTCAAATTAAATTCATGTTCAAAAGGACTTACTGCCTATCTGCCACGCAAGGTGCTAGAGTGTGAATGCTAAAGGTTCAGTCTTCAAAGGGCGTGTGGTACTTTAATACTTCTTACGAGTGAGTTCATTTAGTTGATTTATGTCAGGAATGTGTAATGAAAACCGGCCTATGCTCTTCATATAAATTCCTTTATTTCCAGATTCTGTTTTTTAGTGACAGAGAAGAAGGAAGCAGGCACCCCCAGTACTTTTTCTTCCAGACAGCTGCAATAACCAAAATACCCTATTATATGGCACTTGATGCCAGAAGGGCGTTTTCCCCCACAGCGTGTCATGTGATGCCCCCACAGCCCTGTGGGGTGAGCAGGGCAGCTGCTGATACCCATGTTCCAGATGTGGCAGCAGAGGCTCAGAGAAGTGAAGAGACTTGCTGTGTATCATAGAGGCTGTTATTAAAACTAAGTCTTCTGACTCCTAGATCAGTGCATTTTTCTCCAAACTAGGTGTCCTCAACCTTGTCAGATCCAATGGCTCTCTCTAGAACTATCCTGAAGTGAAAATCAAAGTTAATGTAATCAACACATAAATTTTTAGAGGTAACATAATTCTCTAAGTGTACTACAAAAGAGAAATAAAGGGAAAAAAGAAAATGATTCAGTATATGTGTACTTCATGTAAATGGGTGGGCATATCTACACGAGAATGGAGAAAGAAGTAGTCGGATGGCTGTTCCTCACTGTAGCATTGCCACGACACACTGTGCACAGATGCAGGTGGTGCAGGCAGTTGTGTGATGACAGAAGGACCACATCCACATGTTCCCAACTGAGACGTGGTTTTCCAGACCAGTGAATGTGCTTGGTAAAGTTCTGAGCACAACGAAGTACAATCTACATGGTGGTTACATCCTGGAAACTCAGACTACATTAGATCTGTGCAAAAAATACTTTGAGTTTTTTTGTAAAATGAGTTAGGGTCTAGTCTCAGATCATTAAAAACCGGTTCCCACCTACATGTATGTCCCATGGGTCATTGAGATAATGGTGTGCTGCTAAACCAGCTCTCTGAGTAAAAAGTGCCCCAGTTTGCAGCATTTGCTGATTTCTGTGCTGTAAATATCCTCATAATGGCTGATTTCAAACTACCAGAAGATACTAGCTCACAAAACTTGTGCAGATTTAACCATTAGTGTAGCAGGAGCCAGCTCCAGGACACTACCAACTCCACAGGACATCTAGCATCTCTGGCCCTGCCCTCTAAATGCCAGTTGGGTTCCCCAAATCATTATGACAGTAAAGTGTCATCACAAGTTTCCAAAACAGCCCCTTCAGGGACAGTATTGCCCCCATGAAGAACCAGTGCATTCAGCTCTGATGGTATTTCTAGTGTGACCTCACCAAATAGCAGATGCTTTATGTGGTACTCACCCCCAGTGTATGTGGTACTCACCCCCTACTGTATGTGGTACTCAC